GTTGATGTGGTCAGTAAAATGTTGGACTTCCTGAGATTTAATTTTAAGTAGACCCTCACCAGCTTGACGCCTCTCACCATGGTCAACCCCAGAGTGGAATAAGGTCCAGCTCCTCTCCAGGAGATCGGTTCCAGAGCCCATGCTGTGCGTCGAAGTGAGCCCAACTATATCTAGTCGGTACCTCTCATCCTCACACACAAGCTCAGGCTCCTTCCCCACCAGAGAGGTCACGTTCCATATCCCAAGAGCCAGCTTTGGTAAGCCAGGGTCAGAGCGTCAAGGTCCCCGCCTTCAGCTACTGCCCATGATATCATGCACCTGACTTTTATTGCCCTTCCTGCAGGTGGTGGGCCCACTGTAAGGCAAACCCAGGTTGCTCTTTAGTGCTGAGCCCGACCAGATCCCATGGGTCCCAGTCTCCAGGTGCTTGCCGACAAGCCCCTCCCCTAGGCCTGGCTCTGGGGGGTGTGGTGGAGGGGCTGATAATCCACATCCAGGCATGGAACACTGAGCTCCTTGTTCTCTTTTGTCCATACAAGTCTTGAGAATCACTCTTTGTCTGGCTTGTCACCTAGAACCAATTTGCCTTTGGAGTCCCTACCAGGAGCAATTATAATAGCCCCAGACAGCAGAGCTCCTAGGATCATTCAGATGCACAAACTCCTCCACCACGATAAGGTGGTGATTCAGAGAGGAGCTAATCTTTTGCTAATCTGTCATATATTTTATTCAAACCATCTTTCTTCTGTTTGTGCACTGTATTATGAATGTAACTAACTTTTAACTCTGTCTACTGTCAACACCAAGTTAGCAACATTAGTTTCATTGTGCAGCTTCTAGTGTGTAATTTTCACTGCCTGTGTAACAGTCTGTATAAAGACACAGTGTATTTACTGTGTATACTCTACTTAAATCTTAAACTGCACAAACAGTAAAAGATCCTAAAAATCTAGCAGAACCTAAAGGTCAGCACTGACCATCAAGGTCTGCAGACTGGTAGTGGCCTTGTGACTCTCCCTCTCCCCTCAAAATACACACAATCTGAGAAAATGGTCCTTGAGTTGAGGCCAGCGCTGGAAAGAGGAGCATCTGAGAAAGCGCCTTGTTACCCCAAGTGATTATAATGTAGAGCAGATCCTACCCACCACCCCACTTTTCTCTGAAAACAGCCTTGTTGTTGGGCACAAGAGTCAAACAAAGAGGACACTGTCCCTTTTCTCCTACTCACTCCACTCCCTGTATCTGATTCCTCTGTGCTTTGCCAAAGATACCTGAACCCCTACCTCTATCTGGTCTGCCTCCCATCCCTCCATCCTTAGCTCTCTCCTCGCTGGACATAATCCAGTGTAAACATAGCTGATTAGGGAAGTATTAAGACTTCTGTAACTGGATCAAAAATACTGGTTTGTATGCTAAAAAGTTTAAGTACCACAGAGTTTATGTAATCCATTTTATTGGTAATCAAACTCTGAACCAATTTGTTCAATGTTCACCTGATTTTTTTTTTGTTTAATTACTTTAACTGTACTAGCTGATCCTGAAGGGTAGCAGTTCCAACTAAATAGTACAGTATATATCTGAATTTAAATGAGCACAGATTTCTTTTTGTAACTTTTTTTGTCTTACTCCACCAGGATGGTGTTATCTCAGTAAAGGACATTGACCTGGTGATGTCAGAAGGAATGGGAATGCGTTATGCATTTATCGGCCCCATGGAAACAATGCATCTAAATGCACCTGAAGGTAATGCTTCCTGATTGGACTTTCAGCTAACACATACAAAAGGTCAATCTCCATATCCTGTAACCGTCCTCATCCCTCAAACACAACAGTTGTTATCAGCATCTTTTACATCATTCAAGTGGATAAAGAAAAATAAACCATAATAGAGAAATTATCACCAATAATGACCCTCAAGCACATAACATGTTAAAACATGATGTTTTATTTAACAAGTTGTTTTATTTACTTTTAACTTATAGTTAATATAGGTGATTTTTTTTTCAGTTTAAATTTGATTCTATCAAATCTCAGATGTTGCATTGACCCACTTAGAATTGCAAATACTATATAATTTGTCTATTTGTTTAATAACTTGGTTAATATTAACTAATAATCTGTTTAATATAATTTGGTTATTTGTTTAATAACTTGTCTAACTCTAAATGCTAAGAAACACCTTGTATCTATGACTTTCCTTCCCTCCATTGATTACAGTGACATTATTTACATGAACACTCCTACAAGAACCCTGCAGATGTTGGATGCTGTCTATCATGGTGCACTAAGATTCATAACTGGCTGTAACTACCATACCCACCACTGCACCCAGTATTCACTGGTTAACTGGTCACCATTAACTTCACGCAGACTCTCTCACTGGCACATTTTCATCTTTAAATCACTTCTTGGTCTGTTGCCTTCATTTATAGGAGCAGCTGTGGCTGAGTGGTTAGAGCAGTCGTCCTCCAATGCGAGAGTTGAAGGTTTGACTCCACCAGCAGTCACATGCCGAAGTGTCCATGGGCAAGACACTGAACCCCTCGTTGCCTCTGATGTGTGTCCCATCAGTGTATGAATGTGATAAAGCACTGATTAGTCTTTGTATAGATCTAGTATAGAGCTGTATGTATGGGTAAATGAGGGCACAGATTGTTGTAAAGAGCTTTGAGTGTCTTGATAAGACAGAAATGCTTTAAAGTAATCCCTCGTTTATTGGGGGGATCCGTACCCTGAATCAATGCGATAAGTGAAAAAACACGAAGTAGGAATAGTAGTACAAGTAGTAAGTAGTAATTTATATTAGTATATATACAAAATATATAA